CCTCCCGAGTAGCTGGGACTACAGGCATGCGCCACCATGCCCGGCTAATTTTTTATATATATTTTTAGTTGTCCAGCTAATTTCTTTCTATTTTTTAATAGAGACGGGGTCTCGCTATTGCTCAGGCTGGTCTCGAACTCCCGAGCTCAAACGATCCACCCGCCTCGGCCTCCCAGAGTGAAGAATGGGGTTTTTAAGTTCAGATCCTCAAATATTCAATTTTCAAAAAGAGACGTATATCTATATCCTTTTTATTATTAACATTTTACTAAAATCTGTATGCTATATTTTTAGAGGTGACTTAGATACTAAATTAGGCATTTTCTCCTTGCTTAAACTTGCCTAAAAGTTTGCTTAAAAGATTGCTTAAAACTGGATAATGCTAGATTTCATGATCCAAGGCACAACTTTTGGTTTTGTTTATCCTAATATTTCACAAATCTATAATTCATTTACTCTCTCTCAAAGCACATCTGAAAATAAAATACCTGTTTGAAATTCATACCGATTCTCAAAGTTATTTTTTATGTTTCATTTTATTAATTTTTCATGTATTCTGAGTAAAATCATCAGTTTGTAACATTTAGGGATATTTATGAGATACTGTCATATTTTGGAAGGTGAAATAACAAAGTGATAAATAAAATACATGCTCACAACTAGTGCCTCCAATATTCTAAAGGCTGTCCACAAATTTTAGCTTGTTGGAGAGGCCTCTCCCAAGCTCCTTTCCGATATCTTTCTCACCTGGTATAGAAACTAAATAAAATTGACTCTCCCCGCCTTTCCAGACACATTCCTAATTACTACCCAAGTAAAAGAAGAAACTTCATAAAAATTATTTTCCATTTCTCAAAGGTCACCACTGATCACCCAACTGCCAAATCCAATGGCATGGCCTTCTGGTCCTAATCCTACTTGACCTCCCTGATACTTTTGATTCATTCCTTCTTGAAATTCTTCTGTTTTGAATTCTGAAATATAAATTGTTAAACATTAGCTCTGTTTTTTCACTGTTGAAACTTTATGCTTTGAATCACCTGATGCTGCCGGGCAATTTTCAGGATTTCGCGAACTCCTTTGTCTGATGTCAATGGGCTTCTGAGCTTGTTCCAAAAGAGACCGCTGAGGAACACTAATGAAAAGACAGAAAAGCAAAGCCATATCCTAACATTCGTAAGGGGAATGTACAACTCAACATAAAGACTAACAAAAAGTTTTGCTTAAATACATGGGTATATATCAAACTGAAAAGAAGTAGAGCTTAAGTAATATTTTCCAATTTCCATTTTCCCCCAAACCTGCTATTTTATCTAGAACAGAGAAAGAATTTCCAAAATATAGCAATAAAAACATTTGCCATATAGTATATGTTTCCTTCATATATATTTATTTCTAAAAATTCCTATAAACATTTTAAGCTAATATTCTGACTATTATTACCTGAGTAACACAGCAATAAGGATGACCTCATAGTGTGCTTATTTTAACATGATAAACAAAATAAGTTATTATTATGTAAAATATTCTATTATTATTATCCTGATTTTAAATGCTTAAAGTTCATGTTTTTTAATGTCTTGTTTCTGATTTAGATAGATAGATAGATGGACAGATAGGGCACTTTCATTCTTACTATTCAAATTAAAAGAATATTTAGAAAGTTGCTTTGGACCAGTGATGCTAAATTTTCTAGTTACTTTGGTGTTTCTATATGGGAAAGACTTTGGTTATTGACTGAGGCCTAGAACAGACAAATCTTTTTACTTTTTTAAAAACGTTTTATTTTTAATTATTATGGGTACATAATAGTTGTATATATTTATAGGGTACATGTGATACTTTAAAATAACTAAAAGAGTAGAATTGGAATGTTCCTAACAAATGATAAATGCTTGAGGTGATGGATACCCCAATTACCCCAATTTGGTTAATACACATCGTTTGCCTGTATTGAAACATCACAAAAGTCTTTTCTATGGTGCCAATTTCAGGAAAGACTCAAGGTTCATTTAAATCAATTTTATAAATTTAACCATATTTAAAAGCAATGTGTTTGCTATTCATAAACTCAAAATCCTTTTGTAAAGTGAATAATCACTCCAAGTTTAACACAAGTTTGATTTTTATATATAGGATTTTATTAAAGTTATGTTCCATGACACCAAAAACAACTACTCAAAACTGATTTCTTCCCTCTGAGGTCAGAAGGACCATGAGAACCCATTCACTGAGTACAGAGAAAAAGAAAGGTGTTCCCAGTCTTGTTTTCCAATTTTTCAAGACTTCTGCACAAGAGTTAAATTTAAAGACATAAATGTATGGGATTTTAAAAAATAATGAGATAGGAAGATGCATACAACACAACATCAACTCTATGTATTCTGACCACACTGTCCAGAAAATAGTGAGTGCTCAATATTTACTGAATGACTGAGTGAATGAACATAGGCTAAGTTCTCTCCATTGTAAGTTGGGGTTGGAGGTAGTATGATTTTCAAAGAAAACCTACTTAAAATTTGGCTTTAAAATATAACACATTGCACACATCTAAGATATGGAACACAATCTTAAAAAATTACTGAAGATCATCAATATTACAAAGATCAAAAAATAGAGTGACTGGTATCAATCTTATATATGATATTTTATTGATATAATATTGAGTCTAAGATTTGATTTTCACTATATGTTATTTTCAGGCTTACCCATTCTGTGGCATTAGCTTCTGACATTAGGTTTAATCTGTGCGTGTGTTTTATCATGTAGTACATGCAAGATACATCACTTGAAATTTCATGTCTTTTTATCATCAACTACTAATTGAACGCTGTCAAAGAATGCATTGTTATTGTCCCTCTCTTTTTAAATCATGATCTTGCCAGCTAATTATCAAACTAAATGATTAGTTTGCAGAGACTGAAGTATGTCCAAATGTCAAAGATCTAGTCAATGTGGCTAAGGTTTTAAATGTAGGTCAATGATGCCAATGGTGATGATGCAGATCATACAACCAAAAAACCCTTATTTTATTGTTGAGGGTTGATATTTCAGTTTTTACTTCACACAGAATGCAGTGTCAAAGAAACAAGCTTTAGTTTTTCATGTGATAATTAATCATGAATAATTTGAATACAGAAATCAAAGACATGTACCTTGAAGAGAGCTTGACACCGTGTGCATGATCCTGGTTGTAAGGCATACTAGGTCTGTCTTGAACCTTAAAGACACAATGGAATACTTCAGTAGAATTCTTGATCACCAACTCATTTGGATAATTTATTTATGGTAAAATACCTTTTATATCTATTTTCCTAAAAATTCAACTTATAAAACATGGTTTTAATAAATAGATCCTATTTTCATAAATGTTACAGTATAATATTAGAATTGCTTAACCATAATTTCTGATGATAACTTTGAATTTTAGTATAGAAACAGATTCTGGAGATCATATAATCAAAGACCCTCATTTTATTGTTGAGAAATCTGTAGCACTCAGGAAAAATAACTTTTGTAGGAATTTTACATGAATTCAAAGGAACATCTCAAATCAGAATGCAGGCCTCCGAACTCCTAATTTAATGTTCTTTCCGTGTTACCACATTGCTTTTCATATCAAGGGCAAACTTGTCACTCAGAATTTAAAAATTTAAGTTCAAATTCTCACTCATTCACCCTTTTAAACTAACCCTAGATTTTCAACAGTTGTCACACATATAAAGAAATCATTAAAATCTCTCAAGAGTCAAAACTGCCCCATCTTTAAGAAAGTTTGTTTTTCCATTTTACAATTTGACCGTACTCTCATAATTAGTGTCCCCAATACTTTTTCACCTCTAAATACATTAATCTGCATTTTACTAATTATACACTCATCTAATACAACAAAACACTCAAGAAAGGGCACATATGAGCCAGCTTCCATCAATGAAGCAAATTTATTTTCTGCCGACATTGGTAGACAGGGCCATGGAATGTTGCCTTGCCTCATTTAGTTTTATATCACTGGGTTTCTACTCACAGTAGTTTTTAGCTGCTCAAAAAATAGGTCATTCTGACATGCAATGAGCCAGTCACACTAGATTCTTTAGAAAGGAAATTTCAACATGTCACATTTTTTAAAAATCTAGCATTTTCATGCTGATAAACTTATTCTATAGTTTCTAAAAACTATAGTAGCTTTAGTATACTATTGTTTCTTTATGAAGTGACTTATCAAGGCTGTCTTTACACTCTAAGAGACAGATAAGTGAGAAATGAAAAATGTTGTGAATCTTTCACGTTTTGCTAATGAGTGTTTCCAAATATAATCAGATGCTTGGCAGTAAGCAAGATAAGCATCTGCTTAACTCTTTCCACTGTCAATTCAAATAGCCGCCATCATATTGACCCTGTCTAGACCTCTTGGTATATGAAGCTGATCTCAGGAAGTTTACTGACAGTAGTAAACCAAAGGCCCAAATTTCTCAAAGTAGATAATGGCCCTAAATAAAAAAGACAATGCCTAACATGAATTGGCTGTATTTAATCTGAAAATGATTTCCCTGTTTAAGTGTCATGCTTAAGGTAATACTTACTACCTGAGAGTATGAGTAAGATCATTTAGTAAGGCAGAGAAAAGGATATATTGTTTCTTCCAATTAAAAAATACAATCCAGCTTATGTTACTTCTGCCAGCAGTTAATATTTATAAAACAATATTCTTTGTTGCTCACTTCAGAGGACTGTTAGTATCAGGAACATTGTATTTATTTATTTATTTTTATTTCAGGATATTACGGGGGTACAAACATTTTGGTTACATGTAATGCCTTTGCCTCGCCCAGGGCACGCTTGTAGAAAGATTGTATTTGAAAAGGAGAAATGTCCACAAAAGACTTCATAGTAGACTCCTGTGAAGCATCTTAGGTGATGAGCATCCTTGTGTTGATTAGGAACAACAATGAGGCTTCTGACCCACTCTCAATAAGGCAAAAGAGTTTGAGCTCTTCACACACTCACCTAATCTACCTTAGTGAAAAATATTTTTTAGATGGCTGGCTGTTAGGAATACTGGCTTCTGATGCTATCTTGTCTACACAAGAATTGAACCTACAACTCTGGCCTCACTAATACATGTGCTAAATAGAATGCTATCAATGTAGTCATGAAAACAGATGCCAACCTGGACACTAGGACTGAATTATTCCCATAATTGTAAGAAAAATAAGCCACAGATTAAATGACCCATACCCTGTCACGAACTGCATCCCAGAACAGAGACAATCAAGGAAAAAAACGTGTCATTATTTTACAAACTGGACTACCAGCACTTTTCATGGGCAATATTTCTGCTTAAAGAAAGACTGACAAACTATGATGATTCAAACTATTTGGTATTTGGTAGGCATTTTATTTTAAATGAATGAAGTAAGCTTGTCAAGGAAAAAAACCCCAACTGACTGTTATTTGTTAACAATGACAAAATTTGAGCTTTCAAGGGAAAATTAGAATTTTTAAACCTGTATCTACTACTGAGCACTTAACAGCTTACCAATACCCAACAGCTTATATGATGGAATTGATGGAGATATTAACAAATGCTGTTTTTTGCTATTGTATAATAAAACATGCAAACATTTGGAAAGATCTACCTACACAGTGAACCAATATTTTCCAACCGACCAATGCATGAAGTTAAAAATAATGCATAAGCAAAACATCTATTCATAGCACAAGATAGATCAATGGGTTTTAATATTAACAAGGTATACAAAATTTCATTGATATGGTTTGAGATTCCATTTCTCTAGTTTCGGTATATTATCAAAGGATTTCCACAATTATCTGAAAAATCTATAAAAATTCTCCCTTTCCAACTGCTTATATGTGAGAAGCCAGTTTTTACTCATATACTTCAACCAAAACAACATATGGCAACAGATTGAATGCAGAAGCAGGTATGAGAATCCAGCTGTTTTCCATTAAGCGAGATAGATTAAAGAGATCTACAAAAACATAAAATAATGTCATTCTCTCTAAAATTTTATTTTGGAAAATATAGTTATTTTTCTTTAAAAAATTGTTTCTTACACACATGCAATAGTTTTATTACTTTGTAAGTGAATTATTTTTAATTGTTTTCAATTTTAATTTCTAATTAGTTAGATATCGAATGACACAATCCATGTAATAAACAAAAACTTTTTGGGGTCCTCAACATTTCAGAGTATAAAGGGATCCTGAGACCAAAAAGTTTAAGAACCACTGTTTTAGGCTCTTACTAATGTCACAGCAACTCATACTGAGAAATTTACCTCATCTCCTTTGGGATTTGGAACGTATGGCTGCAATGGTTCTATTTGGACTTCGGCCTGAACGGAATGAAATACCTCATCATTGTCTGATGACTCATCTTCTTTGTCCTTTGAAACAAAAAGGAAAATATATATTTTAATTGTTGTTAAAATGCAAGTGATAAGAACAACTGCATCATCCTAATATATAATTTAAAAGAATAATTTCTCAATAGTAAAAATGATTTAAACAAGTAGTTTTTAATAGTTTTTAGTTCTGGATCCCTTTCAGAATCTGAAGAATGCTACAGATTGACCTTAGAAAATCGCATATAGGTTACACACATTTGCATATATCTTTAAGGAGATCACTGATCTCTTCAAGCTCATCTATGGGATCCAGGTTAATCTCTGGTCTAAATAGTGATTAACTAATTAACACCAAATTGCCACATTTAGTAAGCTAATATTTAACTCCAAAGTTTGGTCCTCCTTAGCAATGGAAGATCTATAAAACAGAGGTGCAAATATTTCTCCTGAACAGAGCTCTACGAGTTTAGAAAACTGTATTCCCTTTTAAGCCAATCAATATTATCTCTTCAACTCAAAATAAAAATATGCTTTTTTCCTGCTGGTGAGTTGAAGTACTAACTTATGTCTCCAAACTCTAATAAAATTTCAGGTATTTCTAAATACCTATGACTTTGACTATATTATCGATAATTTTCTTTTCCTTTATGTTTTCTTTAAGGATCACACATAAAGATAAGAATGCCTGTATAAGAGCCTAGAGTCGTGGGATCAGTAACTATTATTATTGACTTTTTTTCTATTTTGTAATGGCTTCCCACATAAAAATTTAAAACAATGAATGAATGACGCTAAGTATGTGCCATGCTGATAATACTATGAGTGTTCAAGGGATAAATAGAAGTCTTTTTCACAAATGCAAAATCCATTAGATCTAATTGATTACTAGGGCTCATTGAGAATAGTCATTTTCAATTTAGATGCCCTAATTTTTGCCAAACATGACCATTCTAGATTTATACCTCCCCTTCTCCATCTGGTATCTTTTTCTTTGTATCTCCCTCTTTTTCTGGGAGCTAGACATCCATTTCCCCCTTTGGGTCTTGCTTCTCTTGCTACTTTTACCTCTTCTCGTGTTAAACATGTCAGTGAATTAACATTTATTCAATTGGCTCAAGTGCATGAACCAAAAGAATTCCTTATCTAATCAGACAAGATTCACTTGTAATTATTACATCAATTATTATTAGGTAAATGGATGTGGATCACAGGGTTTAATTTAGGATCATTACAATGATTCCTTTTATGTAAATGGATGCTACGAAGTATTAGAAAACAACTGTTCTCCTAATCCTGTCTAGCCTCATTAATTTGCTAATCAAGTCCACAAACTCTTCATCATCAGATTAGATTTGTCAGATTAAATTCAATAGCTCCAGTCATATTACACCTACTTTACATTAATGGTTTTCGAAACAATGACGTTTTATTGACTGTTCCTAAATAAGATAGAATTTAATACATTGTTTTCCACGTTTCAAAATGGTGCAGAGACCAACTTGTAACTTGTTTCATGTTCTGTGAGGTCATGTCATTGATTAATTATGTAAAATAGGGCAGCAAATTGGTGAGACAAGTCATAAATATGGTAACCATATACAAAATGTTTTGGAAACTGCTTGTCTCTCTCATGTTAACCTTGATTTAAACATCCCGAAGAACAAAAATGAGTGTAATTCACTCAAATAGTAGAGCTCAGCATTCTATGGGAAGAAGAAGCAAGTAAACTAACACAGAGGTTAGAGGAAAAAACGGATTTGTTTTCGTGTTCATTTTTAATGAGTTATCTTTGAAATTTTAAATAATGAAAGTAATTTTTAAAGATCCAAAATAGTAATTTTAAATGTGCATATGTTATCTCTTTCTTGGTTAAGGGAATAATCTGTAGAAAACTAATAATTAAAGCTATATTTCAATCGAGATACATTAAGCAATTACCTACATGATTCAAGCAAAAGGTTTTCTCATATTCAGTCACAGTTTTCTTTAAAGCTCAGGATAATTTATTTGAAGCAAAAATTAGTAAATCTTCTGTAGAACACAAGGCATATTTATTTCATTTGATTTTACAGAGGAAAAACATCAGCATGAACTAGCACATCTTCTCTGCATTTCTGACTCAGCATAAAAGTATCAAAAACTCTTACATTTTCAACTTGTCTCAATTCCTCTTCATGCTGATTAAAGGTATCTTCCCATCTGCGTTGGCGCCTTTGCCTGCCGGCTTCTAAATCTGAGAGCTCAAGCTCTTCAGGTCTCCGTGACGACTTTGCCCTGAACCTCTTTGGTGACAGCCTTTTTGCCAGTGCCTGCCTTAGACTAGAAACTCTTGATTTTTTCTTCCGTGCCTGTTCCGGTTGAGAATAAAACACATCCGATGCCAGGTTTTCCATCAGGATTTGCAGTGGACCGAGTGGCTTTGAGTTATGTGAGTTTGGTGCTCGAAGCAAGTCTCTTGATAGCCCCTCTATCAGTGCTTGAACTGAGCTAACTGCCTGTGGGTGCTCCAGTGCCCAGGCCTGTGCCCTAGGTGATCCTTCGGTTTGGCGCTCTACGGGAATGAGCACCTGAGTATCCAAATGTAGTGGCAACAGCACATGGTGGTTCTGTGACAGTAGGGGCAGGAACACCTGGGCGTGTACTCGCAATGACTCAGGTTCCTCTGCCTCAGTCTCTGCCTGCTCCTGCTCAGCAGCCTCTTCCTGTACCTCTGGCTGTTCCGGTGCCGCGTTCTGCTCCAGCTGCTGTTCTGGTACCTGGTTTTGTCTCTGCTGTTCAGGAACCTGGCCCTGCCTTTGATACTGCTCGGGTACCTGATCTTGCCCCTGAAATTCCTCTGGCACCTGGTCCAGATCTTCGGGCTGTTCCGATGCCTGGGCCTGGGCCTGAGCCTGCTGCTGTTTGGGTACCTGGGCCTGTGCCTGTAGAGTCCTAGGTGTCCTACCTCCCTGTAGTGGCATGAGCACCCGGGCTGCCCTCCGTAGTCGTGGAGGTGCCTTAATCTGCATCTGCAGGGGCCTAGAGGCCTTAGCCTTCACTTGAGCCTGTAGTGGCATGAACACGCGAGCTGCCCCTTGTAGTCGTTGAGGTGCCTGAGCCTGACCCTGTAGAGGCCTAGGTGCATTGTCCAGAGCCTGTAGTGGCATGAACACCCTGGCTGCTCCCTGCAATTGCTGAAGTGCCTGGACTTGTGGCTCTTCTCGATCAGGTAACCACCTCGGCTGAGAGGGTTCTCCATGCAGGACTCTAAGTGGTCTGCATCTGCTGCTGGTTGGCAATCTCAAAAGCTCGTGAGTGCAAGAGGGTCCTCTGAAATAAATATACAAATGATTGCCACATAATTAGAATTTTTCAGTGGAACAGAGCCATTCAGGGGAATTGCTTTTATTTTAAAAGATGGACATTTTCTGCGACAAAGATATTTTCAGTAAATCTTTCTGGAATTATTCCCGTAAAGTCTGAAATATCCTGCAGATAACATGTATTACTAATACATTCAATTATTAATGGAGTCTGATAATCTACTTGATCATTCTATTGCCAGATATTAAGGAGTCTTTGGGTAGTAATAAAAAGTTCTCCTCAATATTTCCACTCAATATCTCTTGAGAGCAGAGGTTTGTTATTTGTTATATCAGAAAGGATCAAGTCATTCTGAGTCAAAAGTGACAGTATGAATTAACTGCCTTAAGCGAGTTGCTATCATCAAATTATATATGCAATTTGTCTAACGCACCTGAATCTTCTCATGGTGTACTGTTCCTTAATAGCTTCTTCTCTTTCAAAGATCAGAGGTATCCCTTTTTAGGAAAAAGAAAAACAATGCATAAACAGCAGAGGAACATGTAATCCACCTTAGTCACTTTGTACCCTCTACTGCTCAGGATGTGGAGTTGAAAGTATCCCTTCAAACAAACACACTTGAAGCTCTGACTTGGGTGGGGCAAAGGCAATATATGTAACCTAAACATTTGTACCCCCGTAATATGCTGAAATAAAAAAAATTGCAATTCTCAATGAACACTGATGAAACTATGAAAAAAATAAAATATATAAAAACTTGGTTGGTGATATAGACAGTGTTTTAGTTTCTAGGCTCACTTTTGCAGCACAGTACAGCTATTGCATGCAGATTAATTTCTCTGGGCATGGGAAAGAAAATTTAGCAACCTGCTGCAATTCTATAATAAAAGAGAAAGAAAAGAGGATGGGACAAGGGGGAAACATGACAAGAGAAACTCTAGATGATTTGTGAGCATGGCTTACAGATGTGGGCTCTAGATGTCAACTTTCATAGCTTGGGATTGATCTTTGGTCTTTTCAACGACAAGGTAAATTCCTAATTCTGGGTTTTACACTTGTCACGTTGAAAACATTCAGCTTCTTTCTTATCAGCTGTGCTGTTACTACTGAAACAGAATCTTACAAACAAGAGTTTCCTTTTGAATGTCCTATTTTAAAATGTTTAGGGCAACTATATTTACTTTAGAGCGACCTCCATATAAAGGGGAATTTTCCTGCAGTTAACATTTTGGAAATCTTGCAACTCTGGAAATTAGCAAATCATCAAGTAGATGTGTGGTTTTCCTGCACCCATTTGAGACTGGTTGGCCTCTGTGATGTTGGCCCAATGACTTCATCACCATAGGTAAGTAAATTAATTCCTACCGTTCCTCACTTCAAAATGGAATACATATAGTTATGCAGATGGAATTAGCTCCACTGTAATCAATCCTGCAGCTTATCTGAGGATGCCTGCTTTTTTAAGTTCCCCCTTCTCCACTCCATTGTTACTCTCAACCCTGCCTGTGGTCCACAAAATTAAATGTGTAATATGCCGAGTAACCTATAAAGTTAAAAATTCCCAAGTAGTTTCCTCTGGGTTTGGTGAAAATCCATCCTGTCATTTTTAATAGATAGAAGCTTACTTTTATTTGTATATGTTAGTTCCTTTAATAACATATTATAGTTGGAGTTCAGTACATAAAATAAGCTTTATATGGTACGCAAACATTACTTCAAAATTATTAGTTAATAAATGGTTAATTACAAATCCACTTATCTCTGTAGAGTTAAAATATCAGCTGAAAAAGAACAGTCAGCTATAGATTTTGTTATCTTTAATTTAATATATTTCTTTAGTTAGTTTACTTAAAATTGGCACGTCACAAAATTCTACGTGAGGCTTTCAAGGTCTTTGTAAATATGAATACTTGCCAGTCGTAACTGGCAATAATGAATAGCCATGTATGTGTGTGTATGTATACACATTTATATATGTGTACACTCAGCAAGAGTTAGTGAACTGAATAATAGCACATGGCACATTATTGGAAAAATAAATATGGAAGGCCTCAGAATTTTTATTTTCAACCTAGTTCTTCAGCAAATATTTTTTTCTAAAACCAATAAATGAATAAATTCTGCTCTCATCTAACTATTCATTCTGGTAAAATGAAAAACATCACAGATTCTACCTTTTTTTTGTCTTTTTTTGATGATTCCAGTAAGATGCTTCGTTAATGACTCAACGACATGTCGTTCGTTTTTTATATCCCGAACAAATGGGTGATGAAGCATATTTGCTGACGTAGGACGAACCAGAAAATTTTTTATCATGCATTTTTCCATAAAATTGTGGAACTTGCGGGACCTAAAAGAAATGAGTCAAAGACATAAAAGTATTTTCAGGCCTGCTACACCTCTTCCAACCCCACCCACATGCCACTCTGAAAAATCATATTTGTGGTGAGAGTTGATTCTAGCTATAATTGTCTTTTCAATTGGCAAATACCGGGCAGTTTGGCAATATACATTATACAGTGAGGCCATTGAAACCTCAGAAAAGAAGCAATCGTCAACTGCATTTTCTGCTCAAATAACAGTAGAAACCTCAATACGTCTAGCTGTATATACAGGTAAAAATTCAAGTGGCAATATGACAATTAAATGGTTAATGTGATATATGTACTCTGTGAGACTAGATTGGTCAGCCCACAACAGTCACACTCTGAATGTTTCATTTGACTACATGCGGTTTTAACTACAGAGGCATGTAATGATCCAAAAAGAGGCTGTTAATAGCACCATAACTAACTAATCTTTTAAAATGGCCCCTGAAAACAGATGTGGCCAGAAAGCCTGATTCTATGGAAAGGGTTAAATTGAATTACCATGAAGAATGCCAGCAATCAAATCACAATCACCACTTCTACCAGGGCAAGCTGTGCATACTAAGAATAAACAGGAGTTTAAAGTACTAGATCAACAAGCTTCAGAGAGGAGGATTCCCAAGTTCAGCTGGCCTGTAGCATGCTGGGAGAACAAGTCCTCTGTTCCAGGCTTATGCATGTTCAGTTTAATCGATCAAGCAACAGGGCTATATATCACAGTTACAGACTGCCTATTCAGGCACAGCAAGAAATTTCACAAATGGTTGCCATTGGTCCATCTTATTACTTGGGAAACAACTGAATATGTTTATTAATGAATGGCAGGACACTAATATCATCATAATATATTATACTATAGAGGATGTTATTTATTTCTAGTTGGCTAGCTAGCTCTTAATGAAAACTGGTCATTTAGACCTCCCAGTTAAGATATTGGATTTTAGGGAGTATTGCCAACAAGGACAGTGAAGCAGAAGTGACCAAATGAATTAAAACTCCTTTGCTATATAAAAACGTCAAGTCGTTATATTTAGGACATTAAGACATTCATCTTTACCATCCGCTGGATTTGACTGTAGGAGCAGATTCCCGCAAAATGACAAAGAGGGCTTCCAGGGGCTGAAGGTTACACAGAGCTGCAAATGGAAATAGATAAGTTTAGAAAAAAATGAGAAAAATAACTACAGAGTACACTTCTCATTCCAGAGAGGATTCTCAGTGTTCTTTCACTTATCATGTTGAATAGATACTAAGGAATAAATAGATACAAAAGAATGTAGTTAAAGGAAAAGCTCATTTTAACACAAACATTGCAATATGTAAGATTCTAATGTTTCACCATCACCATGTGTGACAAAGCATTAATAAATTCAACTAGATAAAATTTTTGAAATGTATGGTTGATGGTTTATATCTAGAAAAGTTGAAGTAGAGACAAGCACTCTTCTGTGTTTCCGCGTTGCAGATATTTACAGTTGTAAAACTGTACGGACTTAAAAAGTCCATGGACTTAAAAAGTCAACCAGACTACTAGCTAAGAAAAATAATATAGAAATAAAAATTATTTGGTGGTCTAGAAAGCTGAGAAGAATCTGTTCTGGAAGCTAAGAGTCCCAGGAAAAGAGGTAGATATATTGCAACTGCTAAAACCACACCCTCTACAGTAAGATCATCTGGGTTCTAATCCTAGCTCCGCCTTTGTGATTTTGAGCAAATTACTTAACCTGTCTGTACCTCAGTTTCTTCATCTAGAAAAACAGGAAATGTAGTGGGAATCCCTTCAAAGAGTTGCTGAGAAGATTAAATAGCAACTTGCGAGTAAATGTATCTGGCACTTCAAGTCTGTGCCAAATTATCGAACTTTCATTCTCTCTTTCACACACACAAACATACAAAGAAAAGCCTATTCCGATATATGCTATATAAATCAATTACCTCATTGGTTTGGGAATTCTGGGTTTTTCTGTAAGTGTTTAAATATGTGTCTCACTTTACTTATTTCCTCTTATGTTTTATTTTAAAATATTAAGGGGGTACAAATGTTTTAGATTACATGGATCATTTTTGTAATGCTTGAGTCCCAGCTATAGGTGTGCTCGTTACCCAAATAGTATTCATAGTGCCCATTAAGTTGGTCTATACCCCTCCTCTCCTTGCTCCTCCCCCGTGGTTGCTTTCCACTGAGTTTTACTTCCCTCTGTGCACATGTGTGCTCATCAGTTAGTTCCAATTTAATAGTGAGTACATGTGGTGTTTGTTTTTCCATTCTTGTGATTCTTCATTTAGGAGAATAGTCTCCAGTTCCATCCAGATTGTTGCAAAGGTATTAATTCATCTTTTTTATGGCTGAGTAGTACTCCATGCAGAAAGAAAGAACAGCTTATACACTGTTGGTGGGACTACAAATTAGCACAACCTCTATGGAAAACAGTATGGAGATTCCTCAAAGAACTAAAAGTAGACCTACCATTCGATCCAGCAATTCCACTACTGGGTATTTACCCAAAGGAAAAGAAGTCATTTTATCAAAAAGACATCTGCACTCGAATGTTTATAGCAGCACAATTCACAATTGCAAAGATGTGGAATCAACCCAGGTGCCCATCAATGAGTGGATTAACAAAATGTGGTATATGTTCACCACGGAGTCCTCTTATGTTTTGATTAAAGAAAACTGGCAGTGCAAAAAATCCCCAATGGAGGGCCACAGTGTAAATTTCATCTACCACTACAAGCATGTCATTCATGCGAGGAAAGTTTGATATTAATGACTCTTGATAGAGGTATCCTTCCTCTCCCCAAATGAATCCTCAGAAAACCTGGAGTGCCAAACTGCCCTCTCATAGTAGTAGAAAAAACTTCTCAGGGTGATTTTTATCAGGATGATGCAAAGGCAATTGTTCAAAGGTCAAACTTTGTTCTCAATCACATGGGTATAAATTAATAGAAGGCACATTTTTATAATTGAGGGCAGAATTAGTTACAAGTGTAAAAGATCAGAATCATATTTGACTCTTTTCATTCCTTTACTGTGTCCCATCAGTCACCAGGTTTTGTCCTTTAAACATATTGTAAGTGAGTTTGTACAATATTAAACAGTTGTCATTTATTAACATCTGAGCATCATTCAATCAACTGACAACAACTTCAGGGGTCAAGAGCTGGAACGCAGACTAGGTAAGTTTTCATTAAAGGAAATGAAAAGTTCACAAAGGAACGGAACATAGGGTGGGTACAAGAGCTATGTCAACAGCAGCTGTGGACAGTTTCTTATATGGTCTAATTTTAGGAATGTAGGCAAATGCCCCCTCCGGCCCACATTTCATAACACTGCCTAAATGTTCATCATTAGAAGCTCATTCCTTTGAAATAGCAAACCTCCTTTAAAAAACACATCTTTTAAAAAAAAAACAAAAAACAAAAAACAAAAAACAAAAAAAAAAAACATCTCTTGGGGGGTTGGACACATATTAAACTGAGCTTAGTTTGAATTAGGTTAAATAATGTGGCTTATTCCTAACACATGGAGATCTGAAGGAATCTTCTGAATATTGAAGGAATGGGCCTATTGATGGGACAGCGGTAGATTCGAACCAGGAAGCACTCAGGTAAAGATTGGCATGGGGTGTGAGGGAGGAACACTACAAGAAAAAGAAGTAAGACTATAAGCAAACATCATTGACAATGTGAAAAGTAATCTCTACGATATCAAAGAGAATGCCAAAACAGGGAAAGATATGGTCCAGATTAAGGTAAATTGGCTGGTGTAGACCCTTGACAAGGGTATCCTGCCTCTCCTCCAGACAAAGATTCTCTTTTCTATAAAAAATAAAGAGGCTAAGAACCACATCTATTCAAAATACTCTGGTGTTTAAATGACTACTAGCAATGTTCTGGCCTTTAATCCAATTAAAGGTCCCCATACAGTTTGAATTCCTACCCAGAACCAAAGGACTGAAGGAGGTCTTGGTGTGCAAGGGTCTAGTTCTTCTCTCTTTTTGGAGCCCCCTTTCAGTGAGAAGAAATTACTCTTCCTCTCTTTACTTCTCTGGGAGAAACTCACCGGAGAAAGACCAAAAAGAAAGAGAATTTTGTTATCTGGATCTCAGAGGATATTTATTATCAGATATTTGTCACTTTGGAAGGCCACCTCCTTTGAGAAGATAATTATCATAACCTGGAGGACTTCTGCAGTTAAATTGATGACAATCGTTTCCATGCAAAGAAACGATGTCATATTCCAGGCAATAAAGGAGGCTGGTTAAAGAGAAATGTTTTACTAGGGGGGCTATCTAGAATTGCTCATGACCAAAGTTGTTCCGTTCCAATTACTTATCTAGGCAGGCTGGTCCTATTTTCCCTCCCTGTGAGTTCAGAATCTCCTGCTCCTCACTCATCTTCAGTATACAGCTTGCCATTTGTGTACTCTGTGCAAAACACTTTCTCTGCACTCCTTCTGTAAGTTTGCTCATCACCCCTTTTTTTTCTCCATGACTTACATTTGGAAGGACAAAAAGTGACACAAAAGAAGGTGAACCAAGAAGTACAAACCTGTAAAACGTAGAAAGCTGCTTTTTGAAAAGACATGGTGATGAGCACTCAGAAACAATGGAAAAAAAGATACTACTTGATGCAGGCACGTATCCTAACCAAGTCTATGCATCAATAATAATATGAAATATCATACTGCGTATTTAAAGAGAGAGGAGAGAGGAGAGAAGGCGAAGAAAAAGAAGCAGTAGAAGCAGAAGGAGGAGGAGGAGCTGCTGCTGCTGCTCAATCTAACATAATCTAAGCACGTTTCCTAAACAGAAATAATCAGACAATGAGGAATAATTCACATCTCCCCAGTCTCATTTCAATTTCACATATGCGTCATATATAATTTTTTTACATTTTAATCTTATCCATCATTAATTTTTTATTCACCCAACTTAAATAGTCTGCAGTTTTTTGGGGCACTAGAATAGAGGTAGCATCAACCTGACCTCCATATCTGTCCCAGCTTTATCCCAGCCCACATTTGCTATTCCAGGGGACACCAGGAATTCTCAACGATTATGTCACCATTATTTCTACTTCTTGAAATTCCCCTCATTGGCCTTGAAACACAGTGCTAAGATAATTCAAGCTTATAAAGCTTGGTGGGTGGACATCATGCAGACAGGAACATGGGAACCTGGAGGATCTGCTGGGAGAGCAGGAAGCACAGCCATCCAACCCGCAGGGCTGCTCTCAGGAATGTATTGTCATTTTACATTTGGATTTAGGTATTGAGGAATAGCAAATATGCTATGCTCCAGTGTCGTATATTAGTTGGTTATCAATCATCTCTATCCAAGTTCACACTCCATTTTTACTTTCCTACCAGAAAGCAGTGCCTTGAGAGAACAAGATGTTGACAGGTCATTGAAATGATGGGGAAGTGGGGGAAACAAGAGAAAATAGTTAAGGGCACTGGTGTGGCTGAAAGGAGCAAAGAGAGCACCAAAAGCGAGCTGGATTGACTCCAAAGGAAAAAAAAATGCTTATTTCCCAACATTACTAAGGATTGGCTCAATTTCAATGAACTCGTGGAGGATTTTCTCAACCATCACAGCCTGAAGCAGTAACATTGTGTGACTGTAAATGTTCTGAAACCTAAATATTCCACCAGGCGATATAGATTAGTATGCCAAGGATTCTGGTCACTTAGGACTATTAGGACTGAATACTACTGGGGCTAAATTGAAACAACACTCAGTCAGCCTAAAATATCATAAGAAAGAAAAGCGAGCACAAACAGTTTTTATATATCCATATTTAGTCATTCTGACAAAAGTATTTTGTAATCACTGAAAAGGCCACCAATGGCAGTTTGGCACATAGTGTGACACCTGTGTGGCCAGTCAAAGCTGACAGACAACCTCATCTCCCGCAGAGACAGATTCATAGAGTACGGTCCCTAACCTTTAAAAAATATAAAACGTTTTTTACTCACGAGGAGCTCCTTCAGCCATTTCAATGGCAGTGATTCCCACAGACCACACATCACTCTGTGAAAGGAAAGACGGCACAAAAATAGTTAAAAATGGGAAATTGGTATTATTGAGAGTCTCAAAACAACCTTTGGCTAGGGGTGGGGGTGTCAATGCCAGAGCCATTTTATGGGTTTTCTATAATGAAGTTTCATTATAGACTGACGTTAAAGGAAGACATTATCTGACCTTGTGACCAGCCAGTACCTCACTATACAACAGGCTGATATGGAATGGGGTTCAGCGCAAAGAAACTCCATCTTGGAGGTATTGCTACTGTTGCCTTACCTGAAATACCCAAAGAAACTTGCCATGAAGAAATCCTATTACATAGATCCACCAGTCATATGATCTTGGGCAAATGATTTAACTCTCTGTACCTCGAGTTCACACTATGTAAAATCGTGATAATAATAGTATCTACCTCATAGGACTGGGGTGAGAGTGTGTGTGTGTGTGTGTGTGTGTGTGTGTGTGTGTGTACATGTTTCAGCAGTTCCTGGAATACAGTAAACTGAGGCTAGAATTATAATAAGGCTCTAGAAAATTATTCTACTAATATTAACTATACAGCACTTTGTTTACCAGAGTGTGGAAAGGGCACAGGACTTGAATGATTCCTAAACAAGCTAATCGAATTCTTAGAACCCCAGTTTATAGATCTCTTAACTTCAGTTGCTGTGAAAGCCTTAAACTTTCTTTCACCTACATGGGGCTAAAAAATAAAAATAACCAATACAGGTGAAAGTCCTTGGAAGACTGCAAAAAAATATATAGCTATAAAGCATTATTTTTACAGCAAGCCACTTAAAAAACATTATGCTTCCATAGTCTTCATAGCTCTTAACATACCACTGAACATATAATAAGCTCTCAGTAAATAATTATTTTGTAAATCAAGCAGAGGGCATTTAAGGAAAGGGAAAAGAGATGAAACTTAAATTAATCAACTTCAAGTATCGAGTCCTAGGTTCCACATAGAGAGACCACAATGAATTGTTTGGATGACTTATGATGTGGAGAGAGTGAGGTTTTTCCAGTCTATAGCAAATGGAGAGTTTTCTTTCCACATCAGCTTTTTTTGAAATGTGTACATAGATGTATATTGTCCAAATTGCAGCTTCAGTGGAAATTTTAATAAATAGCATGAATTGTTACTTAATTTGTCTATTCCACTGATTTTCTGTGGTTTTGGAGGTGAACCATGCCAAGGATTTTCTCCATTACCCTGAGTAATCAAATTATTTTTTTTTCTTTTTGGAGCTAAGTTACCATAGGGATTAATAATTAGCTTTACATTTATTCATTTTTAAGTTTACAAAGCTCACTGCCCCTGGAAGTTGAATTTCCATATAAAGCCACCTAATATAATATTTTTACCAAGAAATTGCAAGCAACATACACTAGACATTCTGACTCAAATCTGGGTAACTCCCAATGGTCTACTTTGTCTACATCCTCAGAAAATATTATTTTTAAGCATATAATCAAACCATATCCAGGAATAGAGGCTAGTAGTTCCTATTACAGTTTAATGTGAAAGAAGGGGTTGCCTGCTTTTTATTCTTTTATCTTATCATTAAAATAAATGTTAGTCAAAAATCCTTTCCAAACTTTGCTTCCCACTGTCCGAATCCTCACACTCACTCTGTAATCATAGGAGCGTCTTGGGTCCTCATCACAGTCAATCACCTCAGGTGCCATCCAGTATGGTGTCCCAATAAAGCTATTTCTCCTTCCATTAGTTCTGCTCACCTGGGCACTCACTCCAAAATCCACTGCAAAATTCAGCATATGTCAAAATACTTAATCGGGGACAAAAAGCTCAATAAGTTATTGCTCTAACTTGGAAAGCCAATACAAAAGCCACAATGGATAATAGATTTTCATTCCAGCCCAGCAAACTTCACCATGAAGTCTACTCCAGGAATATGGGAAATAAGCTTTTGCTGCTATTTATGTTGGAATGAGACTCAGCAGAGCTATTATAAATCTACAGTAGGTTTGGCTGAATGTTTACCATGAATATTAAAAATAAAGTTCCATCAGTACACCCTGAACTTCTGAAGTGATAACATATGTAGTGTTTGGACCTGCCACCACGCTGGACAAAGACCAGTACTATAAGCAACATCTAAGAAATCTAAAACCTATTAGCAGTTGATTAGGAAGTCTCGCTCATGACTTGAGACAGTCCTATCACACTGATAAAAACGAATTTTCTGCTAGAATTTAGTTTAAGTTCTTGCACGTATCTTCTCTATCAAATGCAAACATTTACTGTGGTATCTATATCTTAGCTGAGACTACAAGTTCAGTTTTCTATTCATCTGTGGGATACATTATAAGAAAATATTTAGTATGGTATCCTCAGAAACAGAAAAAAGTCTAAAGTAGACTGGAGTTATTTATTCCAGAAAAAATAAGACATGGATGAAAAATGAAGCAGATTTTCTAATTTAGAATGGTTTCCAGGAATCTAGAGGATGGTGAACAAAATTGACTGAAAAGCAGCTTGAAGAATTTAGAGGAAGAAATGGAAAAGGAAAAAAAAAACCTAAGAGTTTAAAACAGTCTTTAAGAAAGTCTCTAACAAAAGCAACAACAAAAAATTTCCCACATATTGCGATGATCGCCATTGGGTGTTGTACAATCTCATTATCTCGCTATACTTTTTTAGAAATAGGTTAAATCATAGCTCAGCATTCTCACTGTCCCTGAAGGCCAATTTTAAGGGCCAAGAAATACCTATGAAGGCTGTAAGATAATATATGGCACACATCAGGGAAGAAAATGAAAGGAGAAAAGACTAGAAGAGTGATAAATGAAAGAAAAGGAAAAAGAAAGAAAGAAAAGTAAAGCTGAAAATTAGATAAAAGTTAGAGATGAAAACTCAACAATGGCATAATCTAACCTTTCTTTAATGACCTCGGGGACTGCAGTATGAAGATTATTGTGCAATTGCAACTGCAATATAATCATTTTCCTGTCTCTTCCCTTTCTGTCACTTCCTTTGGCTGTCATTAGCTTTGCCTCCTGCAACCTTCTCCTTATAATATGTTGCTTAAAAATAGCTACGATCTGAGAAATCTAAAGCAAATCATATAGGGATTATGTGTAAAATAAGCCTGATTAAATTC